GGCGGGCCCCATCGCCCTCTGGAGCCCCAGTCAGGGGCAGCCACCTGGAGATGCTCGGCCGCCGGGCTCGGGGCAGCCGGGCCCGCCCCCCGCGGCAAGCGCTGCGGCGCCGGGGCTGAGCAGGCTGCGCCAGACCTAGCCCGCAGAGCCCAGCTCGGCACCCGCCTGAGCGCCGGGCCAGCTTGACAGCAAGCTGAGCGGCCCCGGGTCTCACCTTCCTGTCCTGAGTGGCCCGCCCGCTCGCAGTCCCGGATGCCGCCGCAGTCAGAGCTTCCGTCTAGGGCCGGAAACGCTGCCCGCCTCTCGTGACGTCAGGCTGTCTCCTCTGTGCCGCCGCCTACCACCTCTGCAGCAGACTGAGGTGGTGGTTCCCTGAGGCGGCTGCGGCGGTCGATTTCCTGCCCTTCCCCGCACCGTGTACCCCACTACCGAGCTCGAGACGTAGTCCCCGGGCCTCGTCTGAAGCCCTCAAAGGTCAGACGCCTTCCCCAGGATCCGGGCGGCGCGTCTGTCTATAACGGCGGGTACGTAGGCCCGATGTCGTCTTTGGGCGCCGAAGGCGGGAGGGCCGAGGAGGGGCTGCAGCACAGCCCCGCTGCGGGGCGGCGGACAACGCGCACACGGTTAACTAATGTGGGTGCTCTGTCTTCTCAGGCTCCTGGACCTCGGCGAGTTGAAGAGGCAAGTGCGCACATCACTGTGAGTGGCGGCGGCAGCATCCTAGGCGAACTAGGACTTAAATACGGCACCATGACGCAGAGGCTCCTAGAAGACTGGTGCAGGGGGATGGATATGAACCCGCGGAAAGCACTGTTGGTTGCCGGCATCCCTACGACCTGCGGAGTGACAGAGATCGAGGAGGCCCTGCAGGCTGGCCTGGCTCCCTTGGGGGAATACAGACTGCTTGGGAGGATGTTCAGGAGGGATGAGAACAAGAATGTAGCCTTGATAGGCCTTAAAATAGAGACTAGCAGTGCTCTGGTTCCCAGGGAGATACCTGGAAAAGGAAGTGTCTGGAGAGTGATCTTTAAGTCTCCTAATGCTGATAATGAATTTTTATGCAGATTAAATGAGTTTTTACAGGGAGAGGGCGTCACGATTGGTGAATTGACCAGAGTTCTTGGGAATCGAAATGACCCTCTCAGCCTAGACCAAGCCATGATCCCTGATATGCGAGCCCCCGTGTTGGCACAGGCATTAGATGAGGCTCGTAAGCCACCCCTGCAGTGTCTGAGGTACAAAAAGCTGAGTATATTCTCAGGCAGGGATCCTCCGGGACCAGGTGAAAAAAATTTTGAATCCTGGATGTTTCATACTTGTCAGGTAATGAAAACATGGCACGTGTCAGATATAGAGAAAAGAAGGCGGTTGATAGAGAGCCTTAGAGGCCCAGCATTTGAAATTATTCGAGTCCTCAAGAAAAACAATCCTTTCATTACAGTTGCAGAATGCCTGAAGTCTCTTGAGACAATATTTGGGATTATTGATAATCCTAGGGCATTGCAGGTCAGATACCTTACTACTTATCAGAAGGATAATGAAAAGCTATCTGAATATGTCCTAAGGTTGGAGCCTTTATTACAGAGATTGGCACAGAAAGGACTAATTGAGAGAGAAATTCTGAATCAGGCCCGTCTAGACCAAATCGTTGCAGGGGCAGTCCACAAGACAGTTCGAAGAGAGCTTGGACTGCCTGAGGGTGCAGCCCCAACCTTACTGCAGTTACTGTCACTGATAAATGATAAGGAGGCGGAGGAGGAGGAGGAGGAAGAAGCCCTTCAGGCTGAATTAGAAGGGTGTTTCACTTGACCTAAGACCAGCAAGGATGTTATGATGAGCAGAACATGATGGAGAAATTCATTTCAGTGATCAGCTCATTTCCACCTTGTGCTGCCAATGTGTTACTGACATGGAAAATGTCATTCTACATTGATGATTATTTAAATCAGTCATTCTGATTCTAGTCATTCTAGTGCAGTGTTCCAGGAGGCCACACAAAGTTCATCTGTACATCCAATAGTTGTGTGTGACCTTGTTATCATTTCAAAGTTTGAAGTGTTGCCCACATTTATAGTGAAGACCCTGAGCCAAGGCTGGCTAAGATATTTAGGGTTTCTTTCTTTTTTTTATAATAAGTTATTGATGCTGTGCAATAAAAAAGCAAAATTGAATGCTGAGGCTGAGTCTACAACAGCTATCTTTAGCTTTGTGATATATCTGTTGTGTTGTCAGAGTGTCTGGTTTTAAATGTCATTTTCTTGATGTTATAAAAGTGAATAAAGTAATGCTAATGATATAATGTTGTGTTTGATGTTTCTCTACTTCAGGATTGCAAAATACTACATTTCCCCTGAGACAGGCTCTCTGCGTTGCCCTGGCTGACCTGGAACTCACTCTATAAACCAGGCTGCCCTCGAACTCAGCTCTACCTGCATCTGCTTCTCCAGTAATGAGATTAAAGGCATATGCTACCACCGCCAGCTTGATTGTTGTTTTTAAACAGGAACCAGAAGTACAGATTCTGGCAAGTAGTAGGCCTAGCTACATCACTGTTGAATTTGGAGGTAGAAAGGAAACAAAGCTTTGTGTATTTTTCCAATCCTAAAAATCTTGTAAAATAGCCCAGGCATGGTGGTGCACACCTGTAATCCCAGCACTTAATACGTAGGGCCAGTGGCAGGAAGATTGGCCTTTCAAGGCCAGCCCAAACTACGTAGTGAGACCTTATCTCCAAAGACAAAATTCTGTACATAGGGAAACTCAATTCGCACATGGGGAAATGGACACATGCCCAAGATGAAAGAGGTGGTGATGGGAGCAGTTCTCTTCTTTGCAAGGTGGTTCTCTCCACTGCCAGGAAAGATGCAGTGCTAAGGAAGGGAGCTACGTCAAGGATCTGGGCCAGCCTCACCATACATGCATGCTGCCTTCTGTGCTGCGGAGTGCAGTAGATTACTCTGAATTAGGATACATAGTCAGTTCCCTTAAGTTCCCCCACTACAGAATGGCATGTGGACTCTTGAAAGCTGTGATTCTGCCCTTGTGTGTATGGTGGTTTAGGACATGACCAGGCATTGTCCTACAGCTCACTCATTTGCTGTCTCAGTTGTGAGAAACACTATTTTGTTGTGTAGACACAGAAGTATTAATAAATGCTGCACCTCTCCTGTGAGAAAACAAATGTTATAGGATAATTCCTGCCCTGAGGGTTTATTCAGACTCAGTTATAATAGCTAACGTTGCACATGTCCTTGGCCAGGGACTGAGTACCAGCTGAAGATCCTATGTTCCAAGAAGCTATGTCTTTTCCCCACCTCCCATTTAATGAATGAGATGAGGCAAAGACAAGTAACTTGTCTAGGGTTTTACAGGTATAATGTGACCAGCCCTTCACACACACACACCCTCCAACCTTCCCTTCCCCATTGGGTCTTTATTCTGGGCAGAAATCATGAGTAGGCACAGAGACCTTTAAGTGCTAGTCTTTGACAGGTTAACATTGTTTTGTTTTGTTTTAAAGGTTTATTTATTATGTATAGAGCATGTATGGCTGCAGGCCAGAAGAGGGCACCAGATCTCATTACAGATGGTTGTGAGCCACCATGTGGTTGTTGGGAATTGAACTCAGGACCTCTGGAAGAGCAGCCAGTGCTCTTAACCTCTGAGCCATCTCTCCAGCCCTTGTTTTGTTTTGTTTTTTGGTTTTTTGAGACAGGGTTTCTCTGTGTAGTTTTTGGTGCCTGTCCTGGATCTCGCTCTGTAGACCAGGCTAGCCTCAAACTCACAGAGACCCGCCTGGCTCCCAAGTGCTGGGATTAAAGGCGTGTGTCACCACCACCCTGGCCTTTGACAGCTTTTATAGCCCATGGCGTTTGCCAGTGGTGGCAACAGACAGGTGGGAAAAGTACACGGTGCCCCCAGGTGAAGGCCTAGGATGTCCTGGACCCTTCAGCATTGTAGCTCTTTTCTGTAGGAGCCTCTAGTAACCAGGCCCTTTGCTCTAAAGTACTAAGTTACCATGTAGGCCTCTCTAAAGTGGTACAGTGGTTATGTAGATCATTGGGATTCCTTAGCCCTTGGCAGAAGCCGGTGTCAAAGCTCACAGGCCTCCAGGTGAGACTTTTGTAAAATCACACAAGCTCTCTGGAACCTCCCGTGACAAGGCCTGCAGTTTTTCTTTTCTGGCCCCATCAGTTCGAATGCTCACAATAAAAATGAACTTACTAACAGTGATTTTAGCAGCACTTTAATAATGTTTAACACCTGCTGAGTGCTCCCACAGTCTCCTTATCAAATCGACAGCCCAGGATTTACATCCAGGCTGGCCACTGCCAGAGTCCTTGATCTTTCTTTTCCGAAGATGGATTTTTATCTTATGTTATGAGAGCTTTGCCTGCCAGTATGCATGTGCATCATGTTTGTGCGGTGCCTGTGGAGGTCAGAAAAGAGAGGGATGGATCCCCTGAGACTGGATCACAGGAAGTTGTGAGTCATCATAGGAGTGCCAGAAACTGAACCAGTACCTCCGCAACAGCTTAACCATCCATGGAGCCATCTCTCCAGCCCCCTAGAGTCCTTGATCTTAATCTGTTCTATGTTATCTTGTTAACTTCTCACGGGAACATGTCCAAAAACCAGTTTGCATTTGACAGACAGGAAGCTTAAGGTACTGGAAGATTCAGTGCCAGGAGGAAAGGAACACAGTCTTACTCCAAAGAGCTTTTCTTTAAAAAAAAAAAAAAAAAAAATCTTTTTAAATGTATAAATATTTGTTTGCATGCATGTATGTGCAACCACATGTGCATGTCCTGTGCCCGCAGAAGCCGAAAAGAATCGTGTAACTGGAACTAGAGTTACTCATGATTATTTGCTGCTCTATGGATGCTGGGAACGAATGTTGAGTCTCCTGCAAGAGCAACAAGTCCTCTTACCTGCTGAGCCTCCTCTCCAGCCCACAGACTGGTCCTCGGCATACATCTGGTGAATGCTGCATAAGTGAGAAAATAAAAAAGGTTTATACTTAGGAAGTTGAAAAATAACAAAAGCCCAGATGCCCTTTTAAACAGCTGTGCTTCAAAACCACAAAGGCACTAAAATGCTATGCTGACATACTAGGACTTGAAGGGGAATTTCTTTTGTTTAAAAAGGAAATGCTCTAAGAAATGAAAGGAAGGTGGCATGTCAACAGTCAGGGGCCATCCCGGAAGAGCCTCCTCACAGTACCAGCTACAGAGCAAACATCATAGTGTTAGTTCTAACCCAAAGTAAATACCTGTGAGTTGGTGCTGATATAAATAAAGATTGAGTAAATAACTATGGGAGAAAAGATAAATCTTTGCAGAAGAATTTCAAATGATTCATGCGGCAACTTTACCTTTTTGGAAGTGTGTTTACCTGTTTGGAAGTGTTTTTGGAAGTTACTTTGTATTCTTGTGATAAAACACTATGCCAGAAGCAACTTATGGAAAAAAGAGTGTTTCTGTTGTTGTTAGGTTGTTTGTTTGTTTTGTCTTACAGTTCCAGGGGGAGAGTCCATGAAGGCAGGGAGGGTATGACGACAGGCTGCCGGAACAGGAAGCTGACTGAGTTTGTCATTCAGGAGGCCCAGAGAGCTAACTGGAAGTGGGACAAGGCTAGACTCTCAGAGTAGGTCCCCAGTGAACATGCTTCCTCCAGCAAAGTTCCATACTCTTCATCTAAACAGCGCCACCAATTGGGGAACAGTGCAAATACCAGTGTCTATGGAGAACAATTGTCATTCAGACCACCCAAGGAAGCAACTTTTTTTGTTGTTGTTTGTTTGTTTTTCAAGACAGGGTTTCTCTGTGTAACAATCCTGGCTGTCCTAGAACTCACTTTGTAGACCAGGCTGGCCTCGAACTCACAGAGATCCCCCTGCCTCTGCCTCCCAAGTGCTGGGATTAAAGGCGTGCGCCGCCGCCGCCGCCGCCGCCGCCGCCGCCGCCGCCGCCGCCGCCGCCGCCCAGCTTGGAAGCAACATTTATCATGTTCCTTTACCTTTGCATGTCAGCTCAGCTTGGTGACTTCTTTCTAAGGATGAAGAGTATGGAATGGGACAGCAGTAACTTTTCATGGAAAGACTTAGCAACTGCTCCCTTGGCAATATCACAGTGATATCTGTGATGCACCGAGGACCCCTAGTGCAATGTGATAAAGCCATAACCCCAGGCTAATGGTGACAAATGCACCTGAGAAGCCCAGTTGGAGACATTTTTAAAAGTACTGAAAAACTATCCCAGACCAGAGGCAACTAAGGAGTCATGATAACTACATATAATGTGGTATGCTGGAACTGACCTTGAACACATAAAGGACACTAGTGAGAAGATTTAACCAAGAGCTCAGTTGCTAAAAAGCACTTGTTGCTTTTTCAGAGGACCTGGGTTTGGCTCCTGGTACCCACAGGGTGGCTCACAACCATCCATAACTCTGGTTCCAGGGGATCCAGTGTCTTCTGACCTTCATGGACACAAGGCATGCATGTGGTAGACATACATACATGCAGGCAAAACACTTATGTACATGAATTAATCTAAAAATAAAAGATCCAGTCAGAGGCCTAACTGTCCTAGCTAGAGTCTCTGTTGCTGTGATAAACATGACCCAAAGCAGTTTGGGGAGGAAAGGGTTTATTTACAGCTTACAGTCCACCAACAAGGGAAGCAGAGGCAGGAGCTGGAAACAGAAACCACAGAAGAGGGCTGCTTTACTAGCTTGTTCTCCAATGCTTGCTCAGCTTGCTTTTTTATACAACCCAGGACCATCTGCCCAGAGGAGGCACCCACCACAGTGGGGCTGGGTCTTTCCACATCCATCATCAGTCGAGAAAATACCCCCAGAGGCTGGCCAATCTGATGAGGGCATCTTCTGAACTGAGGTTCCCTCTTCCTAGATGTCACTACCCTGTGTCATGGTGACAAAACTCATGGGCACTAATAACAGTATCTTTTTTTCTTAGAGGGCACAAATGCACAGCCGTAGGTAAAATGTTAATAGTAGGGAAAGTAGGTGAGTATGTAGAAACTCTGTCTTTGTGACTTTTCTGTAAGTTTAAAACTTAAGTAAAATTAGGCAGAGTGGTGGTTCACGCCTTTAGTTCCAGTACTTGGGAGGCAGAGGCAGGCAGATCTCTGTGAGTCCGAAGCCAGCCTCATCTATGGATCAAGTTCCAGGATGGCCAGAGCTACACAGAGAAACCTGTCTCAAAAACTTAAATAAAATTGTTCAATGAAATGCATACATCCATTAAGTACTTACATGCAAATAACACGACCCGGATGCCAGCCAGCGCAATCATTCATTAGGGAGTGAGTCCCAGGAGCACCCAGCTTTCCCAAATGTTATTCATTTAATCCCCACTAAATGGCACAGAGCACTGAGTAGATTCACACCAGCCAGAGTAGGATGGATCTCTATGAGTTCAAGGCCAGCCTGGTCTACACAGAGAGTTCCAGGTCAGTCAAGATTACATAGTGAGACCCTGTCTCAAAAAAAAAAAAATTATATTCCTGCTTTGCTCCAATGAAGACTTCATATTTGACTTCATATTTGTGTAATGTTGCAGAGGTTGAACAAATAAAGCAAATAGGAAACAGGAGAAAAATTACAAAAAAAGCCATCCCTTCCTTTCTCTTAGCTTTTGTTAGTAATTACACATAAAGCTGAGTGAAATGGGAATCTTTAGGGAGTGGCTAGGCCAGCTGCCCAGGATTCCTCCTTTTCCAGGAAAAAGGTCCAGCCTGGGAAAGTACCTGGTCCCCTTGAGCTTAGTGCAGACCGGGGCAACTGAAGGGACAGGTGTTCCCATCCTCCAGGAACTCTTGGACTCCGCTGTCCTCCTGAGCCAAGGTCACCCTTCCAGCCACATGTTTGGGGATTTTCTCCCCACCCCAGTTCAGTTAGGCCACTTATCAGAGGTGGGTGGAGGACAGCCTGCAGGCTGCATTCTTCCTGGCTGTAACCATGGCTTCAGTGGGGGGCATGGGACACCATCCAGTAGATTGTCTAGAGCTCAGCTCCCAACTTCCCACTGAAATGTGCACTCTCCGGGTAAGGCTCCGTGTTTCTCCTTGGTCCGGTTACTCCAGTTCCATCACAATGCCATATTCTTGTTTGTTTGCTTCTTTGTTGCAGTGGTGGGGATTGGGGGATTGAACCCAGGGCCTTGGGCATGCTAGGCAAGCACTCTGCTGCTCAGCTACATCCCCTGCACTTTGCTTTACCACTCTCACACTTGCATACAGTAATGTAGGATCCTGCCGTTTCTTTGGGGCGGGATCTAGTTGGGGGTGTAGTGGGGTTGTTTGTCTGAGGCCTGACGTCACAGCCTCAGCTAGAAGACCCTGAAGTTGCGAGGGGCTAGTCACTCATCCAGCTATTGGTGCTGAGTCAGCCCATGCCATGTGTGCCAGCCCCCAAGATTTTGTCTTGGGGTGTCTGGGTGACCAGGGTTTCCTTACAACACAATAGGGAGATTTTTGTCACAAATGGCTTTTTATTCTGAGGAGCTGTGCTGTGTTTGCCTCACAATGGAGACAGGGAAGTTCCTATTAAATGCTCCTCAGAAGACCATACACCCAGTGGCCTTATCTGGGGGAAAGAATGCTTTATCATATGCCCAACTCCGAATACCTTTAACACTGCCCCAATCCACATGGGTTGTGAAGACAAGACACAGACCTGTCTTACACATAGGCGTTGTTAAGTGCAGTGATTCCAAAAGATATGCAGACATCAGAAACAGCTTGCCTTTTCAATCTTATTTTTTCTTTTTAACTTGAAATCCGCCATCTTCTTCTTTTCCTCCTTTTTTTTTTAAGGTAGTGCTAGGTATTGGACCCAGTTACATTCTAAGTGCTAAACATATTCTAATTGTGGGTTGTGCCCCCAGGGCCCCCCAAAATCTGTTTCATGCATAATAAGTTCATCCCACGGGCACAGAAAAGTCTGCTCTCGGCAGAAGGCTTGTTTTTGTCAGGGAAGAAACACACTACAAATTCAGGCACATTCTCACTCAGCATGGGAGGTCCTCTGTTATTGCTGCTGGGTACAAGAACCTGCCGGAGCTGATATTTTCCATGCTCCTTTTCTGACAGCCACGTGGCATGTCGCTTCTTGCTGGGGTTGTGTGTACTCACAAACTTTGTCAAGCCATAAAAGAAAATGCCTGGTGTTGTAATCTTGTGAGAAGTTAAGCAATCGAGTTTGGATACATTCAAAAAATAAGAAAAAGCCTCAAATGATGCTCTGTCATTGGAATATGGGATGTCATGCAATTAAAAAAAAAATAATTGACCTAGGATCCTCTCAGTCCAAAGCTGGCAGGGTGGGGGTGGGGCTCAGGCACTGGAGTGTTTGCTTAGGAGCATACACAGGGCTTGAGTTCCATAGGCACACAGAGGAAAACACAAGCAAAGCAAAACAAAACAAATCCAACCTGGGGGAGCTGTGTGCTATTCACGATGTTGCCACAGTGTGGCGATATTCTAGCGGGTAGGAAGAAGCTGCTTCTCGGAGGCCAGGGCGCCACAGCTGGCTGCGATGTGCAGGGACACGTTGTCTTGGAAGTGTTTGGGCTGCAGCATGCTTTGGGGTTATAATCAGTTTTGCAGACAGATTAGCTCAGACAAAGTGCTCTGAGAAACCAGGCATCGCAACAGTGTTTGCTATTAGCCCAGGAGCAGGAGAGCAAACTTTGGCAAATCATAATGCTATAGCAGCTACAGAATCCATACTATGAGGGTCATGCCCTCAATTTTAGAATGATTCTTAGGAGAACGCATTCTTGAATTTTAGAGTTTTAGATGACGCCTGTCCCAGAATCCCGTTATTTGCTCTAAAGTCAAATGATTAGGTCAGACTGAGCCTACCGCTTCTGCTGGGAAGTACAGCCAACAACACACCTCCCCCCAACCCCCATCCCCACCCCTTGCTTAACCTTGGCTTCCATGTCTGATAATTCTACCCACTGGAAATCTAAGATTTGGGGCCTGGGGGGCGGGGGACGGGACGGGGACTTTGTCTAGGACTGGAAAGATGGGCCAGTAGTTAAGAGTGCTGGATGCTTAACCATGAGATCCTGAACTTGGGTCCCAACACCCATATAACAGGCCAGATATAGTCTTAGTACCCATGTAACGAGCAGGGTGTGGACATGATCATTGATCACCACTGTAACCTCAGCGTTGTGAGAGGAGGAGACAGGGCCATCACTAGGATGTGCTGGACCCCAGCACAGCTGAGAAGATGAGGCTCGTGGTTCAGGGACAGACCCTGCCACATAATCTAGAAGTGCTTTAAAGTAGGCTACATAAAGGACTATATAAACCATTTCTTGATTATTTATAATGCCCAATAAATGCAAATGGTGTGTAAATGGTTGTTACACTGGATTGTTCAGGATATAATGGCAAGGGGAAATGTATGCATGCTCAGTGTAGACATGATTGTTAAAGATTTATTTTCTGTTCCTATGTGTGAATATGTGCTCACATACATGCATGCCACAGTACAGTGTGCCTATAGAAGTCAGAGGATGAGCCAGGAATGGTGGCGGTGTGTGCCTTAATCCCTGCACCAGGAGGCAGAGGCAGGTGGATCTCTGTGAGTTCAGGGCCAGCTTGGTCTTTGAGTTTAAGGACAGCAAGGGATGTTATACAGAGAAACCCTGTTTTTTTTTTTTTTCTTCAAGATTTAGTTATTTATTATATATAATGTTCTGTCTGCATATGACCTTGTAGGCCAGAAGAAGCCACCAGATCTTATTACAGGTGGTTGTGAGCCACCATGTGGTTGCTGGGAATTGAACTCAGAACCTTTGGAAGAGCAGTCAGTCCTCTTAACCACTTAGCCATCTCTCCAGCCCGAAACCCTGTCTTGAAAAAATAAAAAGAGGGGCAAAAAAACAAAACAAAACAAAACAAAAAACCATCAGGTTGACATCAGAGTCACCGCCCTCTACTCTGGGTGCATCTACTCTGCCTGAACATTTACCTGACCACAGATGTTCAGCAGAACGAAGAGGTGTCTGTCTGTGAAGAGGTGGAGGGCCAGCATTTCTCAATAGGGCATTCTTTCATAAATTATGTGAGTACTGCAAAGGTCTCTGATTTGAAAACTGGGTAGCTGGAAAGAGTCACACCTTCTCTCCAGATAAAATGTCACCATCCAGAGACTAACAAGGCAATGGTGCCGTCAGTCAGGCAGAGCTCTCAATCAATGATTCACTCCCAAGATTCTCTTTGAGTGAATTAGCAGCCTTCCCATTGCAGAGTCAAGGAGAGGCTGATGGAAGCAGCGTAGAGAAGGAAGACAACTTGTCACCCCACAGCAAAGGCCGATGCCAAACATTTCCTAAATCCTTGGGAAACCCGACTGCTATTTATCAAAAAAGCACAAATGAGGAAGCTCAAGCCTGAGTGAAGCCTGGGTTGATTTACCCAGATAACAGGCTGCCATCCACAATTGCATCATTCTGAAAGAAAGGTGGTTACGTTCCTGATTAAGTGGAAGGGGGAAATGCAATTGAGTCTCATAATTACAAGAGAATTACTCAGCTCGGGCTTTTCCAAATCCCCTTTACATCTGTTATCTTAATTTATCCCTGGGCAATCTCCTGCTTTGAATGACCTTTTATGACAGCACTCACCCCCCTGGTAGTTAATGTTTAGTGTGCATGTCTGGCCCTCCTGCTGGTTTTATGACCTTCTTGGGGGCAGAGACCATGCATCCATAAAGCCCCAGCACTTGGCATGGTATTCGTTAAGACTTGTGTTGCAATCCACAGAAACCCACTGGATGCAGCTGAAGCAGAAAGAGGGCTTTGTTCTGAAGAGCCCCAGGGCAGGGGTGCAGCCACGTCTTGGGCGCCCAGGAACCAGGTCCCACAATTACTCCTATCTTGCGTCTTCCTCATTAACACCTCTCACCGTTTCTCTTCATTCGACTGAAAAGCTGGCTGCCAGCATCCGCCTAGCCAAAGACCCAACTTGTCTAGCCCTGCAAGCAAAGCTTCAATCACTCTCTAGGTCCCAACCTTCCCAATTCTCCAGGGTCTGGGCCTCTGATTGGTCCAGCCTCAGTGAGGTGTTCACCTCTAGTCCAATCAACTGTGGCCAGAGGGGTGCGGTCCAATGGTAGGACCGAGGTTGTTCCTATGGCAACCATGTGCGGTGGGGGTGGGGCGGCGCAGGAAGTAAGAAGGCACAGTTCCCAGAAAAGGGGAGAGGGCAGGGCTGCTGAACAATAGGGGGCCACGTTCTGGCAAATTCTTGGTGTTCTGTAAATGCTCACGGGGCTGCCTTTCTTGGAACACAGTAGGTCCCCCCTGAACGCTGCTGAGTCCTTATGGCTCTGGTCGTCTGTGACAGCTTTTGGTAACCTGCACTCCTTTGGCCTGGCTGAATCCTGCTCTCCCTTGGGCCTCCTTAAATGTCTTGTCTGACCCGGGCCCAGAATACACTGGGGATTGTTTCTTCAAATTCGTCACCAAGGCCGGGCATGGTGACTTGTAATTCCCAGCGATGGGAAAGGTGAAACTAAAGGACCAGCGTGGGCTTCTTAGGAAGACTAAACGAACCAAACAAGAAGCACACCCCCCCAAAAAAAACAGAACACAAAACCCAAACCACTACCTCACCTTGTTAGTTACTCGCATTATTAGTGCCTTCCTTCCAAACCCCCGTGTCAACAGTAACCCCACGTGGTTGACCCCGCCACCTGTTGAGTGGGGTGGAAAAGGAATTAATTCCGCATTGAGCAATCATGTGGCCAATGGGTGATAGGAGACGCTGAGTAAATCCTTAGCCATTCCTCCCCATAAACTATCCCAAGGTGAAATGTACCCCTCGGGAGGGTGGTCCTGGGAGTCTGGGCATTCTCGAATTGAAGGGGCTGCTTATCAACTCACCTCCCTTGCTCACCCTCCACCCCTGCTCTCTGGTCTTGCTCTTCCTTATGAAGGAGGAGCCAAATGGGTCTTTACCTCCAGTTCTGCTTCCTAGGGAGTGAGGGATGTCCTAAGAAAAATGATTAGTCATAACAGACATGACGTTTAAGCAATGCATCAGAGGCTGAAGAGATGACTCCATGGGTAAATAGCTTGCCATGCAAGCAGGAAGATGTAAGTTCAAACCTCCAGAACCCAATTAAAAGCCAGGTGCATAGCACGGATGTCTATACTTCCAGCACCTATGAGGGAAGATGGAAAGTGGAAACAGGAGAATCCCTGGGAGTTTGTGGAACAGTGAGTCTGGAGTGTGCAGTGGAAAAACAGCAAGAGACTCTCAAACAAGGTGGAAGGCAAGCCAACACCCAAGGACAAGGTTTTCCTGCGATCTCCACACCAGTGCCATGGTGTGCACATGCCTGCACACACACACACACACACACACACACACACACACACACACACACACACCAGTGTTGTCAGAATTCCCGTTCATCCATCTTTGGGTGCTGCTTTCCTCCACACTGGTTCTCTGTTTATTCAGACTTTTCATAAACAGATGCCAGTTTGTCTCCAGACCCAGCTTGTCCTCCCTCCCTCCCTCCCTCCCTCCCTCTTTTTCTTTCTTTCTCCCTTTCTTTTTTTGATTTATTAATTTTTATATTACGTGTATGGTTGTTTTGCCTGCATGTATATCTGTGGGCCATATACCTGCAGTGCCTACAGAGGCCAGAAGAGGACATTGGATTCTTCTGAAACTGTAGTTAGAGATTGGTTGTGAGCTGCCATGTGGGTACTGGGAATTGAACACGGGTCCTCTGAAAGAGCAGCCAGTGCTCTTAACTGCTGAGCCATCTCTCCAGCCCTTTATTTTATTCTTATTAATATTTTTAAAGACATTACTATGTAGTCAAAGATTGCCTCAAACTCACAGTGATGCTCCTGCCTCAGCATCTCACATGTAGGGATTACAGGTGTGAGCCACCATGCGAGGATTCTGCTTTGTCCTTAAATGCAAAGAATGCCTTGTTCCCCATAGTTTCAACCCAGAATAGGGAGCTCTTCCTTATGGGCTCTGATTGGCTTTTAGATGGTAGTGTGTTTGCCTCAAACCAATCACTGTAAGTGGGCGCGACGCTTGTTCTCCAGTTTTTTGTCCTTCCAGGTTTCCAGATAGAGGTGGCATTGGGCAGAGAACAACACAGATGCAGAGAGCTGAAGTGCTGTTCCCTTCCCATTCTCCCTAAATCCAATGGGGATCTGTGGGGCTGGGAGAAGGGTGGGGAGGGGAAGGGGAGAAGGGTGGAGAGGTGGAGAAGAGAAGGTAGGGAGGGGGTGGGAAAAGGGTGGGGAGGAAGAGGGGACAGGGTGGGGAGGGAGGGGCAAGCAGTTCTCAGAGCAGCTGAGTGGGAAGCTGTCTTAGTTACTTTTCTCTCTGCTGTGACCAAATGCTTGTCAAGAAGCAACTTATGGAAGAGGGTTTATTTTGGCTCACAGTTTCAGAATAACATCCATCATGGCGGAGAAATTAGCCATTGTTTAGGAAGCAGAGGAGATGAACGGTATCTGCTCAGCTCACTCCCCCCACTCCGGTCCTGGCTGAGCCCCCAGCCCACAGGATGGTGCTGCCGGCATTCAGGGCACCTCTTCTCTATTCGACCAAACCTTTCTGGAAACACTGTCACAGGTATGTTTCCATGGTGATTTTAAACCCCATGGAGTAGACATTGAAGAGTAACTATCACAGAGGCTGAAGCTAGAGCTGGCTAGGGGCACTCTGTGGGCAAGGCCCTGGCAATCAGGTGGGTCTGCCTTAATTATTCTGCAGCCCTGGCAAAGCCTCATCTGTCACCAGGTTCTCACACTGGGAGAAGCACCTCCATCACTCGGCAGCCAGGGGCCACACAGAGACATGATCTGTGGGGTCCTCATTCACCACAGGCTGTCATCCAGATGGCACTGAGCCCTTCCCCTGGGGAGATACACAGGGATGTTGGCAAGACCATACTGGAGGAAATCACCATCTCAAGGGATGTTAGGGTTTTCCCAGAAGTCTCAGGCCAGCAGCTCCCCTGTGGGCTATCTGCCGGCTCATGAGGTTCACTCTCCCGGTCTTTCTGATCTCCTGGCCCTTGCCTTTCTTCTTGCGTCCCCTTGTTATCCTTACGATGCCACACAGTGAACCTGCCCATGAGTGCCCAGCTGGTCGAGCTAGTCTCATTTTCCTATGCCTAGGAAGACCTGGTGCTCCCAGAACAGTGTCAATCGAGTGTGCATGCGTTCTGTGATGGTTAGCTTTAACTGTCACTTAAAGCTGTGAATCCACTGAGACGCAGCATTGCCGAGGGATTGTCTACACTGGCCTGCAGGCGCGTCAGAGATTTTCCCCTAAGTGATGTGGGGGGCGCCGTTCTCTAGGCCAGGTGCAGTAGTAGATAGAGGTCAATCTTGAATTGTATGCATGGAGAAACTGAACTGAGCAAGCGAGCATCATGCACTTACTTCTCACCGCTCTTGCCTGTGGCTGTGCTATGACTAGCTACATGGAGTTCCTGCCTTGATTTCTCCACAGTGACGGACTATAACCTGGAATTGTAAGCTGAGATAAACCCCTTCCTCCCCTCAGTTGCTTTTCTGCCAGGGTATTTTATTACAGCAAAATAAAGTAGACAGGCCTTCAAGACCCTGTGAACCCTGTATGTAGGTCTTGACTGGGGTTCGATCTCAGAATGTGATAAAGGTGGCGGAACTTCTCCCTGCAATCCAGACCAACAGTTTCATTTCAGAAGATTCTCTGAAGCTTTCCTGATACCCACCTCCCACCATGACCCCGGCACACTGCCACCTTAGAACTAGAGCTTTTCTGTCACCGTGTCTCTTTTTGACATGTCTCTTCACCATGCTGGGAGCTCCTCCAGGGATTCCCAGACTGTCACATTTATGAGCCCTGGGGTGACGGAGGGATGACGTGGTGTGTCCCCAACTGTAAGTACTTATCCTGAGATCAGGGTAGAGCTGCTGTTTAAGCATGAAGGTGTGCCGCCCAGAATGTCATTGACATCATTAAAGGAAGAGGCTGCCCACAGACAAGCCTGACACCAGCAGAGTGGACACCAGGGATAGCATTGATGACGTATTCACAGAACCAGGGTCGCAAGGCAGAGAAACTGCAGGCCAACTGTGATGCTAAGGATTTGATCGTGAGGGTCCCAGAATCTTGGTTTCCATTCTAGCTGTCATGTAGTTTGAGGGTAAGAACAAGTCACATTGTTACTCTGATAGCCAATCCCCTCACTTGTCCACTATTTGTATTGAACTGCTATCAACACTACAAGAGATGGATCAATAAGATGGCTTGGGGGTCATGTCCCTGATGCCAAGCCTAACAACAGGATTCGGTCTCTGAGACACACTAGCTGGAAGAAGAGAACTGATTCAAGTATCCTCTGACCACCACGGGCATGCTGGAGCATGAGTGTGGCCTGCCCCTGCATGAATAAATATTTTAAAATTGTAAATAGAGGACTGGAAAGATAGTTCATCAGTTCATAGCACTTGCTGTTGAGGAAGACCTAGGTTGGGTTCCCAGCACCCACGTGATGGCTCACAACCATCCCTAACTCCAGTTCCAGGGGATCCAATCTTCATGGGCAACAGGCACACATACAGTACATATACAGACATTCAGGCAAACACTCCCGCACATAAAAACAAAAAATACACAAATCTAAAAATAATGAAAATGAGCCAGGTGATGATGGCGCACACCTTTAATCCCAGCACTCGGAAGGCAGAGACAGGTGAATCTCTGTGAGTTCGAGGCCAGCCTGGCCTACAGAGTGAATTCCAGGACAGGCTCCAAAGCTACACAGAGAAACCCTGTCTCAAAAAACCAAAACAAACCAACAAACAAACAAATAATGAAAACGGCTGGGGAGGGACTGTTGACTCAAACCTTTAACTCCAGGACTCTGAGAGGCAGGTAGATATTTGAGAGTTCAAGGCCAACCAAGACTGTACAGTAAAGCCCTGTCTCTTAAATAGGGGTTGGGGATTTAGCTCAGTGGTAGAGTGCTTGCCTAGCAAGCGCAAGGCCCTGGGTTTGATCCTCAGCTACAAACACACACACACACACACACACACACACACACACACACACACACACACACACACACACACACAAATTAAATATATATACTGAAAAAAAAAACAACTGAAAAAGAGAAATGTCAATCTGGAGTGCCTGGTATAGAGGGTGGTGAATAAAAGTTAGTGTCTCGTTCGCCTGCTGGTCGTGTGTAAAAGAGTCCAGTCTCTTAAAGGAAAGAAAGTGAAGAATTTGTCACAAGAGCAGACGTGCTCACTGTCTCTCAGATCCCGCTACCGCTTTCTTGCATGGTAAGATTATTTTTAGCCAGGTTCAGAATCGCTTAATTACTACATGCTTCCCCAGTCTCCCGTACAGATTGACACGTTCTGCAACTAACTTCTAGACGTCGGGGGTGTGAACAGAAGTGAGAGATATGTATATGCATTCTAGGTCATATCCTTAAAGCGAAGGCGCATATTGTCATCTTCCTTTTGACGATTTTTTCCCCCTTCTTTCTGGCTGGAACAGGAATGTGCCCACAGGAGTGGAGGAGCCGTGCTGGTTTCTGTGGTGGAAGATGGGGGTTTGGAATGCAGACAAAAAGAGAGCAGAAAGCAGGGTGTGGGGGCGCACGCCTTTAATCCCAACACTCAGGAGACAGAGGCAGGCGGATCTCTGTGAGTTCTAGGCCAGCTTGGTCTACAGAGCGAGTTCCAGGTTGACCAGGGTTACACAATGAGAACTTGCAACAAAAACAACACAACAACAACAACAAAACAACCAGGCAGTGGTGGCGCTTGTCTTTAATCCCAACACTCAGGAGGCAGAGACAGGCGGATCTCTGTGAGTTCGAGGCCAGCCTGGGCTACAGAGCATGTTCTAGGAAAGCTAGGGCAAACAGGGAAACCCTGTCTCAAAAAAAAAAAAGCAGGGGACAGGCTGGAGTGACTCGGAGCAGTGCCGTCTTATCCTAGCAGCTCAGACTTTCAAGTGCAAGCAAAATTAAATTTCCGTTTATTTGTAACTCAGAGAGATTAAATTTCCATTTGTTTACAAATCATCCATCTTTGAGTTTCATTATAACATCCAAACCCAACCTCAGTCATCAAGGAACTCACCGTATCTGAAAATGAGGCAAGGACCAGACAGCAGGAGGAGCAGGCATCAGGATGGCTCCCGAGCTTGGGGGCACCACTTCGGTCAGCCGGCCTTGACAATCGGGAGTTTATTCAGCTGGCTCCGGTATCTGACATCGATCTACACGGCCTTCTTGTGTTTTGAATGTTTGGGCTCAACTTGTAATCTTCCAGCCCTGGCCTCGGAATTGACATTCCAACGATGGATTTTCATTTTATCAGTGTAGAATGGTAATTAAGAATCTGGGCACAGGTATGCAGTTTGCTAAGAGCTGAGGTTTCTCCTAGGTCTCTGTCAGGGAGAGCTAGTGTGTGTGTGTGTGTGTGTGTGTGTGTGTGTGTGTGTGTGTGTGTGTGTGTGTGTGTGTGGTGTGGTGTGTTTACACATCCATCTAGATCTATTTCTAGATCTATCCATACAAACTTAGAGTTCACACCAGCATCTCAGTTGATCCAGCTCACAGTCCTGTTTCCCCAGAAGTTGATTCTCTGCTGGGGCAGTGAGAAGCTGGATCCCATTGCCTCCAGCTGTCCCACTCACTCAGCCTCCCGGTATGAGCCAATCCTCACCTCACCCTGCTCATGTCCTCCAGCGTGGACCCTACAGGCACCCCTGCTGGTCCTCAGCTCCCAACCAGTGATTGGGGAAGAGCCCAGAGATGCAGTGTAGAGGGATTCCTATGCACCTGCTCATCAACTTGTTTCTTCCTACACTCTGGGCCCCTGAACCCGCTCCTGGAGGAACCATTTGCCCTGCGTCTCTGAGTCTCTGAAAAACTGACACTGACTTTTGTCTCCTCTCACAGAAAGCCCCCAAAGAAGGGGCTGAACAGTGGGGTACAAGCAATAGCACTGGACTCTGGGGTGGTACTAACCCCACTGCAAGGGTCCTGTCAGTTTATGGTACTTGGTGGTTCCTTAAGAATCAGCAAGCCAGTTGGCGGTGGTGGCGCACGCCTTTAATCCCAGCACTCGGGAGGCAGAGGCAGGCGGATCTCTGTGAGTTCGAGGCCAGCCTGGGCTACAGAGTGAGTTCCA